TGAGACTTGAAAAGCGAGAGTGTTTTGAGTTCTTGGAGTTCTGTTGAGAATTTGTTCCACTGAACTGCAGCATTATAATTGAAAGATCTTCGGCCAAATCGTTTCAAGTTAGTCTTTGGGATGTGAAAGAGGTGCTGGTCTGCAGAACGAAGGACTCTGGACGGTTTATACACTTGTGTGAGTTCGACAAGATATGATGGGGTGATCCATGGTAACATTGGTATGCCAATACCAACAGCTTGAACTGCACACGTGCCTGTACAGGGAGCCAATGTAAATTGATGAGCACAGGTGTTATGTGCGCGGACTTCTTTGTCCTTGCCGCCATGTTCTGTATCCTCTGTAGTCTGGAGAACTGTTCCTGTGAGATGTTAACCAACAGACTATTACAGTAGTTTTACTCTACAAAATGACTTCTTCCAGTTTCCCGCCCGCCACAAAAACTTAACTGTCACGATTTAACTTACTGGTCTCCCTTCAAAGATTCCATCAAAATTGTAATGATATCCTCGTGTTAACAATTATTAGTGACGGTGGTATTATCTATTCATGCCTTCGGCTGTCTTTGACTATGTGTTTATTCCCGTTCATCCCTCGAAGCGTATTCATTAAGGAGTCGTTTGTTCGTAATCCGATTAACACTGTATATCCAAATGAACTCTTTAAATTTTAAAATATGTGTTTATAACGGAAAGTGTTCCTTCGGGCGTTCCTTCGGGCGTTCGTTCAGCTCTTGACACAAATGAGCAACACATTTATATTGAGCAGGCAAGTGATCACACACAGTAAAAGGGTGACATGCGTAACCAACGCTTGACGAGAAAAATGGACCCTGTTTTACCAGCTACGTAATTTGGTTGCAGAAGAAATGTTTCAGAAGGGCTTCGTAAATATGTTCCAATTTGCTGGACATTTATCATTTGTGTCATTTTCCAGATTATGCGCTTTATATTAAGCTCCTAATTTGTCTCCTATTTCAGTCTCCCCGCACTATAAATACCATCCTCTCATAAACCACTGGACAAACGAAACTGAAACTTCCCTTAATTATTGCCATTATCCGGGACACATACATTTGTTCAAATGGTCCAACATTGACTGTTTTTCAATACGACCAAGGCAACCACACTGAAAAGCGCTTTGACTTAACACCATTACCCAGTCATTTTGTTGCATATTTTACTTAAAATATCTCAAAGGCTCTTATCATTTCATATTTGGCTATGTAAACATTTTCCCTGGTATTGCCAAACTGAGGTAGTTGAACTTGGGCGTCTAGGTCTATCCTTATGATGGCATATTTTGTCTAAATCACCAGAATCTTTATACTGTATTCTCCTCAGAATATATATTAGACATAAGGTTTAGAGTTCAAGCTTTCTGTGGTGAATTTACAGCTCTTGTGTTGTTGGAAGAATCTCATACAATATTACTTTCATTCTTGCAGATTTGGAAACATGTCGAAATTGTCATGCAGATGCTCATTTGTTCATACTTTATTCACAGTAGTTTGACAAAAATTACTTGAATAGCAATTTTGACAGAAACGTTTGTTAAGCGTCTGTCTTTAATGAAACTTTAAACTGTTGGCAACATTTCCAGGTGACCTATAGTGGGGTGAAACTCTTTGTCCATGCGTTTATGAATCAGTTCTTATCTAGTAAGCACAACAAACATTCAGGTTTCAGTTAAACGTGTTTGGTTTTCTATCCGACTAAATCATCTTTCTGAACTTCAACTCTTAAGATGTTAGTAGAACACTATTCTGAAACATATTTAGAACACTATTTGCAAACCTGCAATTTAGGGCGTTTTGTTGTAGAAAGGTTTTTTGTCACTTCTTTTATTATGTCTCTTAAACTTTGAAGGAGTAGAGAACAAGGGTTGATGATCCGACATAAGCATACTCACTCGCACTGGACATGCCATCACAGATATGTACAGGTTATTATAAACGAAGCAGTATTTGCTTTCACCATAGTCACAATACATCCTCGGGGATCGGTTATTGTCAAAGGAGCCATGTACATATTGATTCATGTGTGCCCATCAATACATACACTCTAGCGTACGGGTGTTTAAACCGAACAGTATCTCCGAGAACTGTCTTCTATGGACATGGCAGTTTAGTTTCAACACGTACAAAACCCCTGTTTGTGTTCATTTGATAAAACCATCCAAACTTATCTTCGTTGGTTGAATCACAAAACTGATATCTTTAAAAATATATATTTAACTATACTGCGTGTTGTGTAGAACTGTCTAAAACTGAAATAGTTTAAAAGAAGATAAATAGTACAATGTGTGAGTTGTGTAACATGGTAGCGTTTATTGATTTTAGTGGATTGTCCATTACTACCACTATAAAGGTTGGAGGGAGTGCTTGTGTAAGGGGATATGTGTAACGTTAGTACTTTCTCCGTGTTTTGGAGGAAACTAATTATTCATATCCTTTTTCAGGCGGTTTCCTATTCACTTCAATGAATACATGATTTCACTCTCTCTCTCAAGATGGAGGGGGGGAGGGGTGGTGAGAATACAGATGAAAACATACAACTATATGCTAAACTGTACAGTAAGACAACTATAATTTTAAAGAGGTGCCTAAAGGGGATAATGGAGGGTAAAGTACATAAAAATGCCACAGTTCCTACTTGTTTTGGGAAGCGAAAGACTTTGACCAATTTCGTCCCACAAGTGCTCCACGGGGGATACATGTGGCGACTGTGCTGGCCAGTGAATAACCTGGATGTGTTGCTGGGCCAGATACTGCATGGAAAGTCTTGTTGTGTGTGCCCGTGCGTTGTCCTGTTGAAAAATAAGGACATTTTGGTGGTGATTGAAGACAGCTACGATGGGATTCTGAAGAATCTGCTCACGGTAATAAAGGGCATAAACTCTCCCTTGACAGACATGAAGGCAGTCCTGTGATTGTAATTTATTCCACCCCAGACCATGACACTCCCACCACCCAAAGGTCTGTCTGAACCACACACTCATCAGCATAACGTTCACCACATCTACGCCAAACACGTAATCGGCCGTCAGCATTACGTAGATGAAGACGTGACTCGTCAGTGACTACCACACCATGCCATTGTTGTAACCTTTACTGAAAATGCCTGCCAGCCCATTGTATACGCTCATTACGGAGTCTGTCAGTCAGAATTGGTCCAACGTAAGGACGTCGAGCATGGAGCCCTGTAGCGTGCAGACGGCGTCGCATGGAGTCAACGCTGATGACCCCCACGTCAACCTTGAACTAGTGCAGCAGTCCTGGCAGTCGGCAGTGTTCCATCACTGATATGGACAAGGTCAATATGGCGATCCTGATGGAGCGTTGTAACACGTTGTTGCCAAGGTCATTGCAGGTCACGGGTGCTGCCTGTCTACTGATGTCGTCTATGAAGCCTAACGATGGTGGAGTGGCCAAGTCCAAGTTGTCGAGCAATATCCCTGCTGCTGGTGCCAACCTGAATCATGCCTAGTGCACGTTCTCTTTCGTGAGGTGTTAACCTCGGCATCTCTGTCCTTGTTTCACAATCGTTAGTGAAGCAATGAGAATCGGTTCTCATACACCTGCTTTTAATGTCACAGTCTGTATGATTTCAGAATGAAATTCGCGCTTTTTTCATGGCGTGGCTACATGTTGATGCATTTTGGAATTAAGAGTCATACTGCCGACAGGAATTTGTTTCTAAAGCATTTTTTCAATTTGACATGCTCTTCGACTTCATGTTAGTTATATTCATTGATCATTGTCATGATGAAATCCATCTTGATGAAAATATGGACAATTTTAGACTGGTGCGTTTTCAATGATGTTCAGTATATTTAGAGTCAAACAGAACCGACCAGCAGGCACACTACTGATGACGCTAACTCATCTTGAAATGTTTTTAAAGACAAGATCTGGTACTGAAACATTTGATATTTTATAGTCTTGACTTAACTTTCATCACCCCCTGATGAGCTACTCTTTATGTTTGTCATACAGATGTTACCAATGAAGGTAGGCACAAGAAAACTAGAATTAAAGTTGAGATTGGGGTAAAATCAATTCATTGAAGATTCCCATTACCGGTATCATTTAAGGAACTAATGCAAAGTATTTGTAAATTATATAAAAATCTATGAAGATAAAATCAATTTTGACCTAAGATCCAAATTTCTTCAACAACTGAGCCATTTAACTTGAATTTGAGGTCCTGGTTGCCATCTGTTACTGCCTGTATGACATTCACTGAAGTACCCCAAAGACATTTTCCACATGAGTACCCTACAAACTGAATTAGTAGCCATACCATAAACAGTGATATCCTGGTGAACTAAATAGAAGAGGGAAAATAACATCTTGATAACAGCTTCTTTTGTATGTAGACCTGACTGCAGCATAAACCTTTCAATAAGGTTTCTCGATTCAAACTGCTCAGATCTTCCCTCAACAGCATATATTGGTAAAAACAAGGTTGGGCAAGTCATGCTGAAAATCTTCCTGTCGGTTTCTAAGTATGACAGTACCATATCAACAACATGGTAAACGTTTAAGATCTCCAGAACTTCAACTTTTTCTTCCACATCAAGCGTACTGGCCATGATATACCTGAAAACCTTTCAACTCAACCCACTGTCACTCACTAATGCCCAAAGTCCTTCACTTATAAAACTTATCTTTCTCTGTATGGCAAACTCAACAATTACATTAAAGATTATTAACACTTTATACATGCATAAAACAGCTTACAGGAATCAATGGGTAGAAAAATCAACATTCATTTCAGAACCATGTAAGTCACAAAATGTTGCAAAAATCTTCCTGAGATGTTTTGAAATAATAAAATCTGCATGGTCATGAACATTGAAAACAACACTGGTTAGCTCAATTTGACAATTTTTCATGATTTCCATTCTTTCTCTTTATTAACCATTCAAACAATAATGACTTATACTAATGTATGCCGATTTTAACATGGATGCTAACCAGATCTCCACAGACATATCCACTTCACTTCACTCCACTTCGTATCACATGCTAACCAGATCTCCACAGACATATCCACTTCACTTCACTCCACTCCGTATCACAGAATGGCATAGAATAATGAAAAGAAGTTGAAATTCATAAATCAATCCAATCTGTAAAGAATATGGAGGTTCTCTTGTAACACTCATTCCCGGACACTGTTTCGCTAAGAATATAAAGGTTTCTTCCTGAGGAAATAGAGTCCAAGAGATGAACTGACACACCACAAGTAAAACTCATAGAGTGATATCCTGAAAAGCTGCCATTGTTCTTTACTTCTTGCTCGAAGACGACAAGTCCATGTCTTGCATGTCTTTATACGATGACGAGCAAGACCTCGAATACAGCACTTTGACATGTTGATGAACGAGGTAGCATTCGCACGAGTCTGTAGTGAGGTCTCAATACCACGAAGGACATCATTGGTCTTTAATATGAGCAACATCTGTCTTGGTATTTTGTTCAATATTACTGTTATTTCATACAGGTACTTGGCCACATCACCCTTGATATCGTCTCCCTGAAATGAAATTGAAATTATAACAGAATACAGAAACACAGTGAAACAATTAAAGTTCTGACTTAGCCATATCAAATTTGAGTGTCTTGAAAAATTATTGGTAGTTAACGGTAGCCATTAGGTGTTGGAAGTCCTAAAACAGTAGAATCCCCTTTCAGCACACTACTCAGATAGGATTAATACATTTCACAAAATGAGTGAGTGAGTTGAGTTTTACGCCACACTCAGCAATATTCCAGCTAACTTCACAAAATGAGCTAAGCATTCTTGTCTGCGCCAAATGTTCAGGTTGTTGTTCTGACAGATTCAGAACTAATCACCAATGTCAGTGGATTTGTTCTTGTACCCTAGTGATAATTTCAGACACATTTATTCAACAGAAAAAAGCAATGTGAAAGAATATTGCCAGACAGCTTTCTACCTCTTGGTCTGTGAATGCATGCTTAGCCATGCCTGACGAGACAGCCTTCCATGACCGAGCTGTCAACATACAGGCAAACAAGCCATACATATCCCCACAGTTCAAGGCATGAGCATATTTCTTGATGCCTTCCAAGTCTGCACTGATGAGTGACATCCACAACTTTGAATAGTTCACTCGGGAAGTCATCACTCAGAGTCTGCAATACAAGACAGGATACAATATCAAACACACTAACCTCTAGGCATCTTTATAAGCACCTCCAAATAAGTCAGTGTGTATTTAAGACTCTTGACAGAAAAGTCAGCCCATATACATACTGTACTAACTATTGATGGTTTTACTGTAAATGACCGGATTAAGTAAAAGTAACTGAGGCAGACTGAAAGTAGTTTCTGCATCGATTATATGTTTTCAGATAAGGTATCATACATAGAGATTATTACACTAGCAAGTATATCAAATGACTTAGTGTGAAATTTGGTATTGCCCTAAGTTTGCAAAAGTTTCATACAAGTCATATGACACACTTGCTTTTTTATTATCCATTTTATTCATGTACATTTGTGCAGTAAAACATGGTAAGCAAGGGTAACGGCCCTCTTCACTGACGTCACGTTCAATAGTTCAATGACGTCACGATCAACAAAATACAGATACAATGGTTGCTGGGCAAAAGTGATATGCGCACATGTGGACATATGAGATATATGACACTAGTTATGCTTTGAAATATGGGTAATAAACATTAATATGCTATGTTTAATTCTGCATACTGACCAGGACTGCCGGAAATTTGATTATCATGCAAAAAACTATTCAAGTTCAACCCCAAACTGAAAACACTTTGTATTTCAAGACACAAAACACAGATAAACATCATATAATCTAGGTAGAAGCCAGGTACATATATTGGATTTGGAAGTTACCTGGTACAAGCCATGGTCCAACAGAATGATGTTGGTTCCTTTCTTTGTCTTGTGTACAAAGACATTGCCAGGGTGAGGGTCACAGTGCACGTAGCCCCGCACAAATATCATCTCACTGTACAACTTCCCAAGCTTCTGGCTCACCTAAGGAAACACAACAAATCAGTCAGCTTATTAGTCAGCTACAGAGGAACTGAAGAAAATGTGAATCTGACAGTATGCTCACAACCCAAGTCCCTGACTGTCTACAGGATACTGCTTGGAATATTGTAAATACTTCGAAACAGTTAATCAGGGAAGTGTCTGTTTGTGTTGAATTAACCCTTCAATCACCAATATCTGTGAAATACAAGAGTAGACTGTAACTACTTGAGTAAGAAGTACTAAGGACCAAGACTGATATGTAGGCAACAATCGCACAACATCATGGTACAATAACATGCCATAAACAGTCACTGAGCCCGAACCATCGATCAGTATAGTCACCTCTCAGGACTAGCAGAAGTTGCTTGGGAACAACTCTTACCCAGAATACCCACAGGCTAATTTGTGAAGTACAGTTACCAGTGAAATTCCATCGACCGATGAATAATAAATACGGAGTTATGTATTATACAATATATGGACATTCCACAGAGTAATCAAAGAATGCAGGTTTTCTACACTAACAAACATTTACTGTATATTTACATCAATGTCTAGGCAGACGTATTTCAAAGAAGTGAATCATGGATCTAATTTCATTTCACCATGTTCTCAAGACAGTACTCTAGAAAGGACAAACCATACACATTTTTACTGATTCTTTATTGAAGCGAGAAATATGCTTACATTGGCCTAATCAGTTTAAAGTCAGGGCAATCTGTAATCAAGGTGTCAGTATTTGTTCATGATAACTGAAGGGAGATAATCAAGACTTTCTCCTTAACCATGTTTTCGTCGTGTTGGATACAACTGAGTCTATTCTAAATCATCCAATGGTGTTATAAAGATTTTGAACAATAACACTTTTTCACCATACCTCATTGACAGAGATGTTATGCTGTTTCATATATTCCCTGTCATCCACTTTGCCCCCCTCACAAAACTCCATTGTGAGAACCCTTTCTGAAGACAACTTCCAGTATACTTTTGGCACCTGCAACACAACATGCATATGTAACTAAAGCAGCTTGTAATGCAAAACTGATTATTTTAGACTGCATTTTTTATTGTCCTAGTTTTTTTTCAAAATTTATCATGATTCATAACTGGACCCATTTGCCACAAACTCTGTTATGAGGCTAGTTCAAATGACAATCCAATCAAATTGGACAGTTCTATGAAAATAGCAGCAATATGACCATTATTTGGCTTACCTTGTTGCAAGTCTCTTCAAACAAAACTCAGAAGACTTACTTCAATCAGTCTTACAATCACAATTTTGAATGTGAATCTGCCAATACAGTTTGACTAAAACTGAGCGGGATGTTAGACAACACATTTCTATAATCTATGCTGGTATTGTGTACTGATGAGGTAGTTTGATTGGATGTTGAATTCAAGGTCTTGAAAGAGAGAATTTGGCACTAACCTGGTGACAAAAGAATTGGAGAAGGTACTTTCAAAAGGAGGAGATTTGGAGATTTCATACACAGGATAATAAGGACATAACAGACATACAGAGTGTGACACTGATGTGTTGCTGTTCTCTTGACATCAACCAAGCTTTGAAGTTTGGAATAAAAGTAATCATCATCACACTTGCCATAAACAAGTATCGATCTGATACTTCATTGGCTTTCAGTTTACTTTTCCAACAATCAACTTACCAAGTCTGAAGGCCAAACATGCATCCTCCCAGTTATGTCCTACTTTAATAATTCATAATTCCTTTAATCATATATGTACATGGTGTATATGGTAAGTTGGTGACGTGACAGTAAGTCTGATAGCAATACTCAAGGCTTTTTCTTAATTATAGCTGGATCCAACAGGTCATAATCTACATCACCACCAACTGATGCTCTCAAACTCACTTTGAGAAAGTCAAGTTTCTTGAACATTTCAGATGCTCTTTCACAGTTCTTTCCTTCATTGAGAAAGTCAAGCTCAAGGGGCAGATTTTTCTTTGTTTCATCAGACAACCAGGTGTACTGGAAGTTAGGGAATACCCATGCAACTGCATTCAGCAGGAACTGCAAAAGGATATGTATGCTCGACAATATAAAATGAATAGTATCATTATGACAGAATAGAATATGTTTGACAAATTATATGACATCAACTAACGTAATGCAAACATTCAGAATGAAGAAACACATAAATTAGGCTAATACATACACAGTTGTGAATGAAAGCAATCCCGGAGAAATAGACAGTTTTCAAAATTATTGGCGGTCCCTGGGTCCAAGAGATTTGCTGCTGTTGTTTTCTTAACCTAGGGACCTTCTTTATTGTATTTTTAACATAAGGAAATCAGACTTTTATGCTTCTTAGCAAACAACATTTAAACTACATAGTCTACTGACACCATCAATCTATTTTTATGACATTAGGATAAGACTTAAATCCTTCATTTCAAGTTCTGATCTATGATGATTATATTTCAATCATGAATGATTACAAACCTCCATGGTCTTCATGTCAACATAAGAGTGAGATTTGACAGTTGGATGTTGCACTTTCACAGCTACAACTGTTCCGTCCTTCAAGTACTCCTTATGTACTTGTGCCAATGAGGCTGCACCCAATGGATCCGGGCTAAAGTCAGTGAACATAGCATCTACCTACAAAACAGGTTGACACTACCATGACATAAACCAAAAGACATTGTTGAACTCATATCTTATCAGATATTGTGGTGCTGACAACTTCAACAAATCAAGACCAAAACAAGATTTTGCATTATATGCTGCATAATTCTTTTCAAATTATTCCTTTAAACAGGCGGTGTTTGAAGGAGAGAACTAGTCCAGCTAGACAATCAAGACATTCTGCATCACTTGTTTAGTCCTTATCAACTTCAACTGCCATACCCTTTCTCTAACAGTTAGCATACATACATCAACTTGATGTAAAATCATAAGAATTCTATCTCTAATATTTCAGTGTATCTTGAAAATTATTTGGGACCTTTTCATCCTAGCTAAGGAAAAGTAATGCCAAAGTTCATAAAATCATCTTTTCAGTTTAGGCAATGATATCATTATACCTTTTGACCAAGATCTTGCTCTATGACTTTGTAAAGATCCTGTAGTTTTGATTCAGGTGCCTTGTCATGGAGAACCTTCATGGTATCAACATATTCTTTTGGCAGCAAGTACTCTAGAGAACCGACATGCTGCCCAACTTTGATGAACACTCCACCATTAGCACAACACATCTCCCTTAACCGTAAAGCTGACCGCAAATGTACCTGAAGAAAATAGTACAAAGAGACTGAAGCCAACCTTTGTAAGTTAAAGTAATAAGGCAACCACAAGTTCCTAAACATCGCGACAAATTAACACAATTTAGAGAAAAGAACGAGGCAGTGGAGTAGCTAAAGGATGAAGCCAAAAGGCCCAGTTTGATTTCCAACATGGGAACAATATGTGAGGACCATCCCCTTGTGACACTGCTGCAATGTTTCAAAAGCAGTGTAAAAGCCTAGTCACACACACACAGAGAGCTGAATAGCAGTCCCTATAAAAACAAGTACAGTATAACATGTGTATTACTGACTGAACTTAGGTATAACGAAATAATACTTTCAGATTTACAAACCATGGATGCTTTTTTACGGTAATCCGGGTCATTTTCATGCAGATTTTTGTAGGTTATTTTGTAGTCAACAGCCACCCTAAAAGCCTGAAAAAAGAACATGTACACTTGTACATAATGAATGATCATCTGAAAATGTTCATTTAATCTTCAACATACAATTTTATTATGTTCAACCATTCATAACATTAATCCTGAGGTAGAAAATAAGTGACTTGTCATAAAGATGCAATAAAAATGGCATTTTGATCAAGCAAAGTACACAATATACATGTCAAATAATGCATTTTGGTGTACCTCAATATGTATAATATTATAAATTGGGTGTTGCCTTAGTGCAATGTTTGACACATATGTTTTTCCGGCAGCACTGGTAATATATCACAATAACTGCAATGTTACCCACTTGTTTGAAGCCAGTTACAATTTATTCTATTACAATCAAGTCAGGTGTGCTAACAATTGGCAATACTAAAATGAAAATCAATTCAAATTAAAGTTTTCACAGGAATATTCTTGGCACATACAGTATGTGCAGGAACCCTCAAATGCTTCACACACGCATGCACGCACGCACACACACACACATCTGTGCACATGTTGTGTATTGGTCATTCCGTTTGCCGAATGCGTGCTATCGTGAATACAGCTTGCCCATTGCATGAAATGGACAGTGGTGTGTATGAGTTTAAAAATCTTATTTACAGAAGCTAAAATGACAAAGTTGTTTTATCCATTCATCAAATTATTTTACAAAGATACTACTATCATAAAAGAGAAATATAATATGACATGAAAATGATATGCACCAAAAATATATATATGATCAACCATTATGGGCAGTTGCACAGATTGGGTGTAACGTGTGTGTGTGTGTGTGTGTGCGCGGGCTTGCGTGCGTGTGTGTGTGCGTGTGCGTGGAGTGATAGGAGTGATAGATCGAATAATCAATCAGTCTCGTTTGCATCAGCAATTATTGAAGCTCTCTGGAGTCAATACACATAAAAAAGAACATGTTAAACTTTAACAAGTATGGTTTTAGTGTTATGTTTGTCAAATCAAGAAATAACATCTGATGCAGTTTCTTGACTGATAAAACTGCACTTTAAACAATTTAACTTAACAACTATGTTACGTAATATTCATCAATGGTCTTAAAACTAGGACATAACACTTCTGTCTTTGCCAAATTGCTTGCATTGCAGTACAACAAAATGCCAAAAAATCTTAGGTCTACCATCATTTTGTGGGTTTGTTTTAAATTGCTGAAAAGGTATATATACAAAATTCTTAATTATCACGGAATTACAGACTGAATTGTAATATTTACTTAGGTTTCTCATTATTCCAAGCCTTCTTCTATTTTGAATGCACACAGTAACCAATAATATTCCAACATTTCACAATCGACTGTTAGGGAAAACTAGTAGTTAATAGCATGACAAACATCCCAGGTTATTCATATCATTGCGTTCTTGTGTGAAAACAGATTGACGGTTTAGATAATAAATGAGAAAATGCCACCTTGACTTACAGCGTATGCTGCTCTGCCAAACCTGACGGCGCCGATCGACGACACATCCCAATAATTTTGCTGGAGGAATACACCTGTACCAACGACTGCTGTTCCAACAAGGCCATACTTGATGAAGGACCTTACTCTTTGTCCTGTCATCACTAGGCCTTCTACGTGTGGGTGAACTGCATACAAATCAAAATCAGGTTGGTGAGGTTACAAAGTCGGGTTTCATAAGCCTGTTGTACGTCGTCTGCTAGGCTGATTGGGCCGTGCTGCAGGTAAGGATACAGTTCTCTGATAAAAATGTATATTTATCGCATCAGTGGGGAACTGGGAACACATCCGATTTATCGTATCAATGTTATGTCAGTACGTTCTGACATCAGTGTTATATAGGTTAGATTATGTTACAATGTCCAGGATTTTCACCTACCGAGTAGGTCGTCACTTCTTCTCTACCTAGTGGACGCGCATCGGAAACAGGTGCGCTGGAGTATACTAGGTTTTGTCTCAACCGTATCTTGAAAATCATTACAGCGCGTGCTACCTCAACTAAATGCAGTGCCAGAAATATCGTTGCATGGAGCTGAGTGTATGTCGACGCAAACGCTGTATAACTGCAATAGACAGTCAAACGGAAATTATGCGTTGGTTTTCACTAAGGCGTTGTCTACGTATCTTTTACATTTTCTCCATTGGTAAAAAAGGCGTTGTCTACGTATCTTTTACATTTTCTCCATTGGTAAAAATCACTAGCACTAAACACTTCTGCCCTAAGTAACAAAAGCTATAAATTGTTCAACTGGGCTACCGTCTATATATATATATCTCTAAATTTCATCTTTGCAAATGCCCTTGCGCATTCGAGCTGAGATACCGGTTATGTGAACGTAAAGGATACACAGGCGAAACAAAATGGCGTCCTTATCAAAGTAAGTGTTACCAGGAATCTGGGGTTAAGTTAGTGTTTCTGCATGTATTTGTTTTATAAATTTTGAACGAACAACTCTGTATTATTATTCCCACTTGCGGTAACACCTTAAACGATTATAAGTGACAGAAAAGAAAGACCAATGAAACCATGTGATGATGTGTTGTGATTGAGTAATTCCACATCTGCACGATTCCTTGATTTAGCGTTGGGGCGCCCGGGAATAGTTTATTTATATATGTAATACCCGGGTGATAATTCCTGTACTTAAAACTTGAAGAGAACTCATAGCTAACATCTGGAACTTGAAACGGTACCTCACTGGTAATTGTATGAAATATATAATGATCTGACCAGAGAACATCTAACATACAACAGTTAGCTCTAAGTATCCGTTAGCCTGATAGACAGACAAGTTACTTAGATTTTTAACAGAATTATTAGGAGTACTGCTCTGCTACTTAACCTATCACATGATACACTACAGCTGAAGGGGTCATTGTCATCACAGGTACCCCGGTGTCAGGGGTTTTCGACGACGTAAGACAAAAACGTAATTTTTATCTGTAATATCATTTAAAGTTTATATTTTACTAACCTAGAGTGATAAAGAATATATTCATCTATTTCACACATAAATATCAAGTGTTTCCTACAAAACTAGCATTGATGACGGTGGTGTTTGGAGCTTATAATCACTGGTATGGAATGCCGCACAGTTAAAAAAACCACGTTCCACACAACGATACACATTATCAGCTTCTCATGGAAATAATTTAATACAGTTGAAAAAATCGGTAAAACAATGTTTGAACGAACTTCAACAATAACACATAATGAAAGTCACAACTTGGGAAAGTTTATAGCATTTTCAATTAAAGATGAAATTGTTATGCCATTTTTCACTCACAAACTTATTCTTCTATGTGAGTGCAGTGGGGGCAATAGAAAGATGCGTGGTTCTCTCTAGCCCATTCAATAAGACTCAGCGAGACGTGACTTTTGTGACTATCATACAACACGAGTACAGGGTTGTCAGACGTGCGTTCAGGAATGAAGTTGACAAAGTGGTTCTTCATATAGGTAGAGAAAATGTATGTATTTGACCATCCACTGTCTGAGACAGCACCTTGAACTCCACGTAATGATCCATCCAACAATTCATCCAGCATGCGCTTTCCTGGGAAAACGAAAAATGGCGGGATCGTGTTTCCAGATGCGCTCACAGCTCCAAGCATAGTTACAGTCTGAGATTTACCAGTTGTGATTGCTTGCGGCTTGCAGTGATTTCCAGCAACTATTCTGGGTGGAACGACATCTGTAGACAGACCTTTCTCATCAATGTTCCACAGTGATTGTGGTTTGTCCCTAAGATTGTGTTTCTCAATTATCTTAGTTAGCTCTCTGAAATAGTTGTTGATGGCGTTTCTTGAAGCACACCGTGCTCGAACTGACATCCCCCCGCCGTGATGTTGCTGGAATATTTCTAAAAGCTGCACAAACTCAGTCAGTCTAACACTGCAAGAAGTCTGCAAAATAAAATAATGTCTGGTGTCTCACGGCGCATGCAAAAAATGTACCTTTCGGATTTTTTTTCGTTTCAGATTGTTAGGTGTTAATTTGGGCCTGATATGCGAGCCGTACTTTTCACTCCGCACAGCGAAGGATAGTTGTGATCATGTGACTTCCTATTTATAGATTGCCTGTCACTAGAAGACGACGGATCTTACTGAATTTTCGCTTGCTATTTTTTTTCATATAGGCAATTGATTTTTCATCTGAAGTGGTATTAACGATCTCAGGTACATAATATTGATTTTTGATTGCTTTTGATATAACTTACCCTCCGGATTTCCATTGTGAATAAAAAGTTTCACGACAGCGACTGGACATATGCCTTACCGATTACACTGCGCGTGCGCTCCAATCACACACATACTCTCGCGATATAGCGCAAGAATTGCAATCGTCGAAATTACCAGAACGAAGAATTCAGCTCGTGTTCGGATACTACAGATATGTATCCCAGGAGATGTACCCTAAACCAAGTCAAAATACAGAAATGTGCATGATACCGTAATCGGGGACAAGCACATATTCCACAACCGAAAACCAACTTGCATTTACATGAGTCATTACGTTTCAACGTGCAGTGTTGCATCCCTGTGCAATCGGTGAGCATGGGTTCCCATTATGGTACACCCAAATGATGTTTTTAGGTTTAACAGTGCCATACATGATCCCATGCTCGTGGATTTTACCAACGTGGCAAATGTGTAAGACCTTCCATTCTCTTCCCACAGAGGTTACTTGTCATATCTTCCTACGGACCTCTGTTCTAATAAGACCCTTTTATGGTGCGAGTGTTCAGGATTCTTGATTGGTTGCAATCAGATTTAGTTGTGCAGTCAGCAACGTTTTTTCAAAAGTGATCATTCGCAAGGTCTCGTAATTTCCGTATGCTTCGGGAAAACTAGAACCTCTTCCTCTGTGCGATGCAAGTCCTTGGCAGAGGAGGGATATTTGTGGCCCCACATTTGCTTGTATTAGTCAAGTTGGATCTCAGTTGATGTAACACATGTTCTGATTGGATAGAAGGAAGGGAGATAATTCGGTTGCGATTTTTTGCTGCTAGGGGATTTTGCGAGAACCGGGAAATATGACCGTATTAGAACAGAGGTTCGTAGGAAGATGTGACAAGTAACCTCTGTGGGAAGAGGATGAAGACCATTATGGCCTCAGGATTTCCTCCCACATCAAGGTGATTCGCTCTGATGTAAATGGAGGACTGTTCAATGTGGCATTAATGTGCTTGTCATTTAATGCAGCACTCTGCAATGTTCCATTTATATGGTGGCGGTCTGTAAATAATCGAATCTGGACCAGACAATCCAGTGATCAACATCATGAGCATCTATCTACGCAATAGGGATATGATGACGTGTCAACCAAGTCAGGATGCCTGATCACAAGATCCTGTTAGTCACCTCTTACAAGCATGGGTTGCTGAGGCCCAATTCTAACCCTAATCTTCACAGGTTCAAAGGGGTGGTGGCGGGGTAGCCTAGTGGTTAACGTGTTCGTTCATCACACCAAAGACTCAGGTTCGATTCGCCACATGGGCACAATGTGTGAATCCCACTTCTGGTGTCCCCCGCAGTGATATTGCTGGAATATTGTTGAAAGTGGCATAAAACTAAACTTGTTCACCCACTCAATGGTTTACAATGTACTATGAAATTGTGGGAATATTGCTGACTGTAGCCTAAAATAACAAACAGATCATATCAACAATGTCCATGATAATATACAGTGGAAATGATATCCTTTTCTTTGTCATTTGAACTTCATAAGCATTTGTTCTGTTTTCAGTATATTACCCGCCCCATCTCAGCGCATATACGATAGAGATGATGAAGACAGACAGTACAGGTCACAAATGCAGGTGATTGATTTCATGTTAATGATTTGTGATGTCCAGCAGTTCAGCTTGTTTTAATTGTCAATCACTGTAATAGATTATTCTAATGGTTGTTATTACTTTTTGTCATACATGTTTGTTCTGCTGATTGTTTTGCTATTTTGGTACAAAAGTGTACAACTACAAGGCACCTGACATTTTTTCAAATGGTAAATGACCTGGTAACCCTGGCATGTGGACTCCACACCTGTCAGTCAATATTGATACTATGTGTGCATTAACAAGTATAATTGTTCATGTAAAACGGGGGCGGTGGGGTAGCCTAGTGGTTAAAGCGTTGGCTCGTCATGCTGAAGACCCGGGTTCGAATCCCCACATGGGTACAATGTGTGAAGCCTATTTCTGGTGTCCCCCGCCGTGATGTTGCTGGAATATTGCTAAAAGCGGCGTAAAACCAAACTCAGTCAGTCAGTCATGTAAAACGATTACAGCCGTTATATATCTATGGATATGTGATTGCATTTTCCTTCAGAAATCATTAAAACAGTTAATCTAAAAAAGTTTTAAATATTATGCATATTGCTTGAATTAATTGAAAGTGTTTACATATCAATATATATATGTTAAGGTTACCCCTGTCACAAGCAAGAGAGCAGCCCCACCATATGGCCATAGGAAGGGATGGATACCAAGATCACAGGAGGTATGGACTTATGCTTATTGCATGTCATAATCAGTTTTCCAGATTTCCCTGCTGATACATTTAGTTAGTCCAAGATTTAATTGGATTATCCATATTTAAAGGAGATATACAGTACAAATATTAAATCTAATCGTTTATATAGTGTATAATAACAAGTATCTTGAAGAAGAAATTTTCCTCTAAAATTAATATTTGTTGTGTAAAAACTTAAAACTACTCGTATAGTGAAAATTACAGAGAAAATTACAATTTTTCCTTATCCTGACTCATGCTAAATGCTTGTCTTCTTCTTGCGAATGATAGTGGAATACTTGAAATCCCTTGAAGTTCCCTTCTAAAAAGTAGACGTAAAATCACTACTCACCCACTAGTAGTCTCCCTTGCCTCCTTTGGCACCCTTTTTGGTCACATGACCAGCCATGTTTGTCACTCTCTCCGTATGTTCACCCTTGAGGACGGTTGTGAGAGCACCTGGGTCCCTATACGGCACATGTCCTTGTCTTTTTTGGACCTTTACATCTAAATTATTGCTGTATACGGTTTTAGGATTGTATACTACTAATATGGTTTGGAATTATGTCCAAATTATACGTTGTTTGACATGTTTTTTCATCGTGTTTACATTTGATGAAAACTTGTATTCGTTGTAGGTACTGGCTGTCTGCGACTGACCCACATTTATTATGTCCTGATTGCACTACTTCATGTTCTTCCAGCTCTCACTGTAAACATTGTCAAAAATTAACCACTTTTGAATTTAATAATTACCTATTTTCCATTCATAGACTTGCAAAGGACTGGGTAAGAAGGTATTCACAAGTCATGTCTAAATGGAGTGATTGCGCTGATAACCGTGTGTTAACTACTGCTGCCGATGTTCATAATTCCAGTGACTTGCCGAGCGTTTTACAAGGGCAGGTCGCTGTTCCAGTGATGAACTCCGGAGCTAATAAGAAGAGATCGTCATCAACTGAGCTGGCCTCTTCGCAGACGAAGAAGACTAGATCATCTTCAACGCAGAAGAAGAAGGCTACAACCCCTAAGACTTCGTCGAAGTCTCTACGCAGATCAACGCAGAAGACTAGATCCTTCTCTACCGAGATTGTACCCCCGGAAGAAGCAGAAGTGAATGATGATCCCCCATCCTCATACCTGAAGTCACAGTCGTCAGCAAGAAGACGAAGCCTGCTTATACAGCTACATCAGCTACTATATCAACGCAGACATTGACAGAAGACCTTCTATCAATGCAGACATCGGGTACCAGAGATAGCAGCAGTGTCAACTCGTCACAAGTGCAGCGTACCTTAGAAGAGGCCTCATCGTTCTCAGAAGCATCATCAACCCTGCAGCAGTCTCAACATACGTCGCAGAACTTCAACCCGGGACTGTTTATACAACAGTTTACAGACCAGATGATGTCGGTGATGGAATGTCACTTCGTGCAGGAGAAAGCTGCTACGAAGACCACTACAGTGACTACAAGCCTGCGCGAAGGTTCAGCAGCCTCTCCAACGCACCTGGATGAAGAGGAAAGCCTGCGCAAAGGCTCACGCACCCGACAATCTTCCCCGTCTGAAGCTAGGAGCCTGGACAACGCTACCAACGTCAGCTCAGCCTTAGACCTCCCTGAAGGAGCCGCTAAGAATTCTCCATGCAGAAGCAGATCGAAGCGTTCTCCAGAACCCTTCAGACGTCGTAGATATGGATCGTCATCACAATCGGACTCAGACTCACATCGGGAACCTGCACACGGGCACTCCACATCTCACAGAGGGGAGACTACACCTAAGAATCAACCTTCACGAAGGCCTAGAGAGAGATCTCAAGACTCCAGGAGGGATACACGATCACATCGGGATCGTTCACCTGCGCGCAGCTCGACGTACAGATCTTCATACAGAGACTCACGTCGTCATGGATCTTCAGATCGGGAGATGTCTAATTCGGATGAAGAAGGTGAAGTCATATTCTCCGATGCGGAAGTAACCTCATGGATTGCTAATGGCCTGGACCTAGCTTCACCTTCCAAGGCTACCAAGTTCCAGAATCAACATATCCCGACGTTCAACGCCAGGAGATTCCCCTTACATCACATGGAACCCTTCCTGAAGGCACCAGAGATTGATGAGGACTACAAGATTATCAACGACTCCCGCTATAGAACTTACAAGATAGAGGACAAGAAACTAGCACAACTGGATACGACTACTAGACGTACCTTTTTCGGACTAGCCAGGTCTAGGGCTATCAACGAAGCACTCATCTCGAAGTTCAAGAACTCCACTGCCGAAGACAACTGGATGATAATCTCTGCTCTAATGACTCAGAAAAAGGACCACCAGTTTATGTCGGAGCATCTAGCATCGACATCAGCGGGCCTGACTCTCCTGAGGAGACAAGGATTATTGTCAGCGTGCACCTGGAGTGAGTGGTTTACCAAGTCCTTATACAGAGCCCAATGGTCAGCATCATCCATCTTTGGAGGAGGAATTGAAGAAGTCGCTAAAGAGGTTACACATGAATCAAGGGAGGTCATGATGATTAAGTCCATAGATACCTTGGCAAATGTGATTCGCCAGACGTCCCAGTGCTACTCCAACAAATCCAAGTTTGCAGGAGTCCAGAGAGCCAGAGAAAAGAAATATTCCAACTCGAGAGGAGGAAGATGTTCTTTTCGTCGCCCAACCGGAGCCCCCAGAAGCAACCCTGGAAGAGGCTCAGCACCCAGAGTTTCCAGGGGAACCAAGCGCTGAAGGCCAGGTTTGGAACGACTGGAGTCTTCCACCCCCAGCCGTTCCCATACAACCTTCGACAGTAGGTGGCCATCTACAACGGTACTGGGAGAATTGGGGAATAGTACAGGACGATTACGCATCCCAGATACTACGCAGAGGATACAAGATACAGTTGGAAGCCACTCCCGCCGCTTACAAGCAACCCACTGGCCTTCAACTACGCAGCCGACCAGACAGAGAAACTGGACGACTCAATCAAGACTCTACTCGACAAAGATGCAGTCGAAGAGATAAATCAAGATCACATCACGCCCAGTTTTTACTCCCCAATTTTCCTAGTACCGAAGAAAAATTGCAAGGAGAAGTTTCGGCTCATCTACAACATGAGGAAGTTCAACCAGGAGTATCTCCGCAGACCAGCAAAATTCAAGATGATACATCTTCCTCAGCTCCGACATCTCGTTCGTCCGTCAGACTATCTAGCCAGCATAGATCTACAAGATGCTTACCTACACATCCCAATACATCCAGACTCAAGGAAATACCTAAGATTCCTTTTGAAAGGACATCAATTCCAGTGGAAGGTTCTACCGTTTGGAATATCGTCGGCCCCCTGGTTGTTTACTCGAGTGACCAAGCCCATCGTCACGTATCTACATCGTCGAGGTCTACGCAGTGCTTTTTACCTGGACGACGGAATTCAAGTTCATCAAGATCCCAGTCAACTCAGACTGCAACTAGACTTCACCATCAGGCTTCTCACTCAGTTAGGATGGCTGGTAAATCTCCTCAAGTCGGAACTGGAGCGAAACAGGATCTTCAATTTCTAGGAATACGACTCATCACGCCAGTGAATCGCATAGTCGTCCCAGAGGATCGTTGGGTCAAGATACAACATATGATATCTGAAGCAATGCTCTCTCCGTTGACACTACGTGCTTGGCAAAGCATGCTCGGTCTCCTCACCTCAGCACAAGACATGACTCGCAGAGGGAGATTACAGCTGCACCCACTACAAATATTTGTGAATGCCCATCTCGACAGTTTGGATCCACTGATACTACCGGACAGTAGGGGTGGGTATTGCAGAGAATTTTCATATTGCGATATATTGCGATGCGAAAGCATGTATTGCGATATAAATTGCAATATATTGCATGAAGTATTTTAAAACAAAAAAACTACTTATAATCGAGTTAATTCTTGATTTATAGAGCAAAAACACAACAAAATCACTAGGCTTGATTAAGCTTTAATAACAACTTTTAATCATGATAAAATAAAAATGTGAATAATATTTGGCACAAATGAAACAAGGACATATCCGAAGATTTCCAAGTGTTACGAAGTTTTCCGAATGCAAGTCAAAATACCGGTTTTCGATCAGCGTATCGCAATACGTATCATTTTCATGTCTGAACCGGTTATATTGCGCAGCCCTACCGGACAGCCTGAAACCATACCTCCTATGGTGGACTCAGAAGTCGAATGTTTGCGGAGGAACCTTTTTGTCAGAGCTGGTTTGCAATACTCATCTCTACGTGTGGATGCATCACTACAAGGATGGGGTGCTCACCTCGACAACGAAGTGGCAGCAGGGAAGTGGTCGAGTCAGGATCAAAGTCTGCACATAAACCTGTTGGAGATGAAAGCAGTGATCAATGCTTTACAACACTGGTCCAGCATAGTAAGGAACACAAGGCTCACAGTCCACACGGACAACTCCACAGTAGCGTTCTACATCAACAAACAAGGATCAACAAGATCAACAAGTTTGCTACAACTCAGCTTTCTCCTGTTCAGCATCGTCGACAACCTGAACATCTACATGAAGGCAGGCCACATTCCAGGAGCAAAGAATGTCATAGCAGACGCCCTATCTCGTCCACTACAACCATCCCCGACGGAATGGATGTTACATCCAGAAGTGTTCCGGTTCATCATACAGACAGTAGGATCTCTGCTGATAGACTTCTTTGACAAAGTTCAACAAACAACTACCAACATTCGTCTCACCAATTCTGGATCCTCAGGCATAGGCAACAGATGCTCTAAGCATCTCATGGGAAGGACTAAACGCTTACCCGTTTCCACCTCCAGCACTACTACCACAAGTAATACAGAAAATCAAGCAGACGACAACGTTGCAACTGATTTTGGTCGCGCCCTATTGGCCAGCGAGGGTATGGTTTCCCATCCTCATACAAGAACTCAGAAGTCCAACCCTGAAACTACCAGAGTGGCCGAACCTGCTCGTCCATCCACACACCAAGCAAGCTCACGGGAATCCGGCATTGTTCCAGCTACATGCTTGGAGCGTGTCAAAGCTTGCCTGAAGACCAGAGGGTACTCTGCCAGAGCAGCAAAAGCAGTGACACTAGCTCTATGCAGATCAACTCGCAACTTGTACAACGACAAGTGGCAGAGATTTGAACACTATGCAACGAGGAAAGGCTTTACAGCGGGTAAAGGCAACCCATCCTCAAGTGGCGGAATACCTGTGCCATTTGCGACAGACGATACACTTAAAAGGTTCAACACTCTCACCTGGCTGCTCTAAGCACAATTATCACTATGAAGACGGGTGTCAAGCTGACCAAAGATACTGGCACTACTATACTCGTTCAAGTTGGAAGACCAACAAAAAAATTCAAGGCTCCTGCCTGGGATCTCAACGTAGTTCTACAACATCTCACCAGTGACGCCTAGGAGCCTCTAGAACGGACATCCTTTGAACTACTGATACAGAAAACGCTGTTCCTGATCGCCCTAGCAACAGCGGCACGGATGTCAGAAATACATGCTCTGAAAAAAACACGATTTGAATCAAGACATCGTGACATCATACATCTAGGACTGAGATGGAACTTTATTGCCCGGCCAGCCTGGCAGACAGTTCCACATCCCAGCACTCTCTACAGTCCTTGGGCCACAGGATGCACAGTATTTATCCTTATGCCCTGTCATAGCACTAAAAGTCTACCTACAAAGTACAAAAACAAGGAGACGAAAATTCAAGCGCCTATTCATCCCCTTATCCACTGAGATGCCCACGGACAACGATAACGATATGGATGAGAGCCGCTATACTAAGGGCCTACAAAGCAGCAGGACTTGAGCCTCCACGAGCCTCCAATCCCCTCAAAGTCAGAGCCCTGGTGTCTACACTTGCTCTGCATGGAAACTGCTTGATTACAACAATAATCGAGGGCTGCTTTTTGAAATCGGACGGAGTGTTTGCCAACCACTACCTAAGAGACATTGCCACCGAAGACGTCTCAGGCATTCACCAGTTTGGGCCACTTGTTGTAGCACAACAACTAACGGTTCGACAAAGGGGCTGAGAAAAATCTCACCCTTTTATCACGTGACTTGTGAAAACCAATGCTCTGGAGAGCAAATGGTTAAAGTCCATGCACACGTCTAATGGACCATCAACAGCCAAATATAGAGGAGGAATTCTGATTGTGGCAAAGATTCACTGACAGATCAAATTCCTGAACTCCCTCAGAACTTGGTAGACAAGGGTGGTCATGGGCTGTTAGCAGGCTACCCATGTAATTGCAGTGTTCACGAATAGCGTCTGACCCTCTGACAAATCCGGCAGATTCGCCAACGGTCAGACAGAAGTCAGACTACCCGCCGGCCCCAGTGTCTGACTGTATATTTCACAATGACTTTGACTGAAGTTGTTTTATGTGACATGTGACACTTATTTGCTGTTTATAAATCTTATGTTTGTTAATAATTTCAATGTCAATTATAAGAAATATTTAATCTGAAATGTGTGTTTAATTTTATTCCATGGGTCCTGTGCATTTTTAATAAGTCAGACAGACATCTGAAACTTACAAGACCCAATGTCCTGTGACTTTGAAACACCATTCGTGAACACTGTCATTACCTGACACTTCCTGGCCCAACTGTGCAACCCATCTTTGTTACTGACAGGCTCAGGACAGGCTAGCATGAGTGATAGACCCTGTACTTGTATAGGACATACTTGTACATGAAGAAGGGTCGCATCTCCACTTGATGCGTGCATCAAGAGATGGAGTTGCAATTGATAACTAATGGAACATTAGTATATCTAAAATCCACACGAAAATGTCAGAAGTTTCGGAAGAAAGACTCATCAGAGGGAAGTTGGAAGAACAGAATCAACAGCAGTGCCATCATAAGTTCCCATGGGGGGTAATACAGGACGTAAATCAACAGCCAGTAAATCCAGGAAGTGGCCTGAGCCACCACCGATTCCGACGGATTCTGCAAGCATTGAGCATGAGTCAGGATAATGTAATTTTCTGACTAAAATTGATATTTTATACTTATCCTGACTCATGAGGTCAACCCTCCCAACCTCCCCTCTCAGGGCACTCTGGATTTCCCTGTAAATCCGGATGTTGGGCGTACATACGGAGAGAGTGACAAACATGGCTGGTCATTTGATGCAAAAGGACGCCAAAGGAGGCAAGGGAGACTACTCGTGGGTGAGCGATGATTTTACGTCCGCTTTTTAGAAGGGAACTTCAAGTGATTTCAATTGTTCCACTATCATTCGCAAGAAGAAGGAGACAAGCGTTTAAGCATGAGTCAGGATAAGTATAAAATATCAATTCTATTCAGAAAATTACATTATATTATATAAACAATGAATTCAATGCTGCCCTCACAATTCTAAATATAATGACTACTTATGGTTATTGCTGTGACAAATCAAAACTGTCAACATGGGTGTTCCATATTGTGCATCAATCACTTAACTACAACTTTGTCTTCGTGAATAATTATTCGTATTCATTACCCAATATTCATGACACATATCATATTCGCCACATCGTTGCAGCCCTATTGTTTACATTGCAGGATTTTGGTGATGGGGGTGCCTTCCCAGAAATTCATGTAGCTCAGTATCCTCTTGGGATGGGTTTGAAAGAAACCACATCCAATTCTTTGGCTGTGTCACTTGATCAGCATGGAAAGATCAAGTATGATGCCATTGCCAGACAAGGACATGGCAAAGATAAGGTGAGCAGACATAGGTATAAATGACAATTTGTAATCTTAGAATAGGTTGTCATTTCTGTAATTTATAGAATTATTTTAATGATTTTACTGCCAATGTAACTGGGACATTTCATGATTTTAATCAAAGTTTGAAAGGAAATTATTTTGCATTTTTAACATCATCAAATTTTAGAAAAATATTCAGGACGTTCATGATTACTGTCAGATTATGTCCAAGAAATTATACTGATCTGAAATGCTGGATGTAAGCAAGACAAACTTATCTTAATACTTATCTGTATCCTTGTGATTCTTAATGATAAATATGGACTAAGCTCCGCTTTGGCTGAACTATTGTCAAGGTTATTTGCCCTTACGCTACTTCATGTCAATGTTACTGTATTGGGTAAAACTACATGTATTTGAAATCGGTGGATCTGTGAATGAGATGGTGTACATATTTTATGTTCTTTTTCACCCTAGGTGATTCATTCCCGTCCTGGTGACTTGGTGCCAAAGATGATTGATGAGGATGACCCTGATCTGCAACGTCCAGATGAAGAGGCTATTGAGGACACAACAGAGAAGACGAGGCAGGCTTTATCCAAGCTGGTATCCAGCAAGATATCAGCTGCCATGCCAGTCCGGCATGCAGAGAAACAGGCACCTGCTCAGTATATCAGGTACTGTTGACAAGCTCATGACTATTTCCATTGACTGTCATTTAAAAGAGTTAAATGGCTGTTATAGTTCTTGGGAATTCTTACGGATGTTGGATATGGTGAATCTATTTGAACCACTGGTGTTGTATGTTTCAGGTATACTCCATCTCAACAGGGTGTGGCATTTAACTCCGGGGCCAAGCAGAGGATCATCAGAATGGTGGAGGTGCAGAAAGATCCCATGGAACCACCAAGATTTAAGTATGACATTGTTTGGTGTTATTGTTATATATGGTTTTGTTTTCAAGAATGTTGACCCCAGAAAAGCAAGCAAGACAATTGAAAACAAGTACCACTTTTGTGATTCTTTCACATTCCAATACAAATGCTTTTGATGTTGATATTTAAAGTGTTTTAGAAATCAGTGGCTTCAGAGCACTCTGTGTCTGAAAGAATGATACTGATGTTGAGTATTGTTCAGTCGACAGAGGTTAGTACTAAGTGTGTATATTCATGTTTCAGAGTAAACAAGAAGATCCCTAGGGGTCCTCCTTCACCCCCAGCACCCGTGATGCACTCCCCTAACAGAAAGGTAAATATACAAATATAGGTCCTCAGTGTGTACAAAAATAGTTACCTTGCCTCACACATAAATGTCGTTTTCTGATTGGCTGAGCGCTCTTCTATTATTTTTAATGTATCCTGCTTACAAGCAAGTAACATTTTCTATGTGAATGCCGAACTCATTGGATACTTTGTAGTAGTAATTCTTTATCTCGAATAACATTGAATCACGTATGGTGTACGGAAATTACACGTTTTGCAAATTGATGGAAGGGAGATAACTCTAAATTTGTTTTTCTTGTTGTCTGGTACTCAATGCTATGATCCGATACCGATGCTTCAATCAGTTCAAAATTACCATTGAGGTGTTCGGCAAGATAAATTCGGGCTCAGGGAACATAAACAAACATCGAGGGTACATCAGCCCATGCCCCCATCGAGACCAGTGAACAACTTACAATATAACTGTACTATAATTGTCCCCACCGCAACACGGAACGGGGGACTATGTATTCAGCGGTGTCCGTACGTACGTCCCGATTCTTGTTAACACGATATCTCATGAACTGTTGTACCTAATGTCTTCAAATTTGGTGACAGCCTACATTGTGAGATTATGCAGACACCAGTCGATTTGGGTGACCTTGACCTTATTTTCAAGGTCACCACCACACTGACCACTTTTCAAACTGTTGTTAGCGTGATATATCATGCACTGTTGTACCAAGTGTCTTCAAATTTGGTGACGGCTTACATTGGGGGATTACGCAGACACCAGTTTATTTTGGTGACCTTGACCTTATCTTCAAGGTCACCATGACACTTTGCACGCTTTTAACTCTTGTGAACGCGATATTTCATGGACTGTTGTACCCAATGTCTTCAAATTTGGTGACAGTATACATTGGAGGATTACGCAGACACCAGTTGATTTTGGGTGACCTTGACCTTATCTTCAAGGTCACCACGATACTTTGACCACTTTTTTAAGGCGATATAAAACATTGCACCCAATGTTTTCAAGTATGTTGACAGCCTACATTGGGTGATTATGCAGACACCAGTCATTTCAGGCATCTTGTATGTGACCCCCCCCAAAAAAGTAGTAAATATAGATATTCCATTCTTTAGCGGCGGGGGACATTGCCATATCAGTGGCAAACACTTGTTTAATGATGTATTAGTGATGCAAATGCAGCTTTGTCCTAAAATTTATTAATCTTGAAATATATATGATAGTATGATATGTTATGAATTTTCTTCTCTTCAGGTTACAGTTAAAGAACAACAAGAGTGGAAGATTCCTCCCTGTATCTCTAACTGGAAAAACAACAGAGTAAGTAATTGAATTGCCATGTAGACCTCTTTGTGCCCTTACATCTTCAATACAATTTCTTGAGTTCCCTGCTATGATATTGCTAAAAGTGACGTAAAACCAAACTCATCCCTTATGTCTTCATATATCCTCAGCATTCACACTTCAGAGAGCAATGACACAAGCATCTCTTTTTTTAAGTCCTAAGTACTGTTTACTTGAAACTTGAACTAACTGCTGAAAATATGAATGACTCAACCTTCAACATAACCAGTTTATGCTTCTCTGTTTGTGTGTTTGGATTGTGTTCAACAGTTCAATATTTTGTTCACTTTCAGGGTTATACTATACCTCTAGACAAACGTCTGGCTGCTGATGGCCGTGGTTTGCAGGGAGTCCACATCAATGAGAACTTTGCCAAGTTGGCTGAAGCTTTGTATATTGCTGATAGAAAAGTGAGTCTTCTTATGTCCATGTCCCTCTTCGGCTTCAGCTTTGCATGTCAACATACACATGAACAGTCTTTATAGTTAAAGACCCACATTGACCCACAGATATAAGAGCAAACATAATTGTTAGTTGTGGTTACATTTGTGTGATGGAAGATTATGGACTGAAAGCTGGAATATTGTTGACACGTGTAACGTTACGTTCACTCACTGATTGGTGAGAATGCTGGTCATAAATTGGTCATTAAAATTCATGGCAAAACATTATTAAGATTAACATACTTTTGCAGATCTTTCTCTATCAGATAGCATGTGGGTTTGTACCTCTGTGTGCCTATGTAGTATTGAATATGTTTCAGGCTAGAGAGGCAGTTGAGATGAGAGCTCAGATCGAGAAGAAGATGGCTCAGAAGGAGAAGGAGAAGAAGGAAGAGAGCCTTAGAATGCTGGCCCAGAGGGCAAGGGAGGAGCGGGCAGGAATACGGAGAGCTGATGGTGAGAAATACTTGCTGTGGTTTGCATGTAGGCAACAGCATACACTTAAGATGTCTGTTCTGGGCATTTGAAATGGTGCAAGTGAAAATGCAAGAAATTCATGTTATGAGATGTGAAATTGCAGAAGGGCTTCTGGAGACAAAATTACTCCTATATCAATGATCAGTGACATTTACTGTGATCCATTACTTAAGATTTACAAAACTTTCTAGGGGGGGTTGACACCATTGCATATATTCATTGGTCTACAACAACCAGTCCCTGCAGAAGCTTTTCACTAGTCTCAGACTAGTCTAGTGGCCATGTCTTTCACTGTAAGGTTGGGTTGTTCTTTTTTAATATTTTACTCTTCTTCAGAACGGGATGAAGAAGAAGTTGAGAGAAATGAACTGAGACGAGACAGACAGAAGGAGAGGCAGAGAGACAGGAATCTAGCTAGGGCAGCCCCAGATAAGAGGTAACAGTCAGATTAACTGAATTGATTGTACATTAAAGCTTAATTAGGGAGTGATTGTTGAAATTATCTTTGCTAATTTACACCAGCATGGTGATATTTGATTTGAACCCAAATTTGAGCACACAATGTTTTTACATATCAATGATATAGTGTTGTCTGTGTTGTGTAGATCACGCATTCAGAAGGAACGTGAACGTGACATCAGTGAGAAAATTGCTCTGGGATTGCCTAATGCTGGAGGATCTCAAGAAACACAGTTTGATCAAAGACTCTTCAACACAAACAAGGTATGTCAAAGTACAGAATTGACAGCTTCGCTTAAGCATGTTTTGAACTAAATCTCATGTTGAAATCAGTTTCTTATCCTCATATATTTCAAGTATGTAAGGATTTATTGTGGAATAGTTTAACATGGTGCATACCATTGATTGTATCATGATAGGGAGGTGATCAAAGGAATCTGTTATCTAATACACACAAGAATGTGTGTTATAATTGGTTGTTCTATTGTCCCTCTATTTCTTTTGGAAGACATGCAAATTAGTTTCCATTGTCAGTACATATTTCTTTTTGTTGTAATGGTAAAGCAGTTCTTATTAACTTGACCTTTATTTACCATTGTGAGCGAATAACAAAGTTTATGGTGACACTTCTCTTGAAACAGGTCAAATGGGTCTTGCACCATTTGTGTTTATAAGTTACAGGTATATTTCATCTTTGATTTGTGGTAAATGACAAGGAATTGTTTGTGATTTGCAGATAGATCTTGGTTTCTTATTTATTTGTTGTTGTTTTTTCATAGTACTGGGAAGTAAACAGAATCACAACAGTTTGCATCATATGCCTCCCTGGTAGACTTTACTATGTTATTTCATCAACAGTCTGTAAGCATATTGTATGTGTCATGTGTGACATGTGAGTGTGGTGTTTCTAGGGTATGGACAGTGGCTTTGGTGATGATGAGGCATACAATGTGTACGACAAGCCGTGGCGTGAGGAAAACAGCATAGGCAACCAAATCTACCGACCATCCAACAGGAAGGACAAGGATCTGTATGGAGAGGACTTTGACACCCTTATGAAACAGAAAAGGTCAGAATGATTGTTGTTCACCTCTGAGGTGAAGGGTTCACTGTCATCATCCAGGGTAAGGGGAAAGTCTTTGGCTAGCCTCCCGAATGTGGTGAACTGAAGGCTGACTGTTCACCCCCATCGTCCAGGGTTAAGGGAAAGTCTTTGCCTGGCCTCCAGATGTAGTAAAGGGAAGGCTGACAGTTCACCTTCATCGTCCAGGGTTAGGGGAAAGTCTTTGGTTGGCCTCTAAATGTAGTGAACGGAAGGCTGAGTGTCCACATTTTATAAACAAGGGTGAGTGGAGAGTCTTTGGCTAGCTTTTAACTGTTCACCTCAGTAAAACCGAGTTGGGGAAAGAACATGGGTATCCTCTAACTGTGGTTAAGAGAAACACAGTGAGAAAGTTTGAGATTTATGGCTTTTCTTATATGAGTTCCAGTTGTGAAGCTTAGGCATGGTTTTGATTTAGTGTGTTCCTCATGAATAATGGAGTAATAGCATGCAAATATACTCAACTTAATGTGATACTATAAGAAATGATGCACTTTGTCAAATGGATAGTTTGGTGGAGTACGGAACTCCCAAAACTTTCAAAGTAAAATGTAAATTTACCATATTTTAAACATAGTATCTTTGTTCTTTTAACTGCCGGCTAAATTTTCCTACAATCGTCATCTGCTGAAGGGATGGTGTAAATCCAGCTAGGGTCCATGCAGGGAGCAAAAGTTATCTAAGTCCCCATGGTTCCTAGTATGGTGATCTACCTTCAGTTGTTGGCGATCTATAGCCCGTCTTTTATACTGTATTGGGGGCGGTGGGATAGCCTGGTGGTTAAAGCGTTGGCTCATCACCCCCGAAGACCCGGGGTGGGCACAATGTGTGAAGCCCATTTATGGTGTCCCCCGCCGTGATATTGCTGGAATATTGCTAAAAGCGGCGTAAAACTTAACTCAGTCAGTCAGTTATACTGTATTGTCTTCTTTAATTGGAATGTTTTAGCTTTGCTCGCTAGTTTTATATTCATAGCTGTGATTCTCTAGTATTTTTACTGTCCATCATTGACAGGTTTTAATCTTCAAAGTATTTTCACTATTTATTGTATAAATTGTTTTCGTCACGATATGGCTGAGATATTGCCGATGTGACGTTAAATATTAACTCACTCACTCACTAGTTTGGTGGATGGTCAGAGCTTGAGGATGTGGTCAAGTAATCTGAGGAAAAGTAAAAGGAAAAGTAATCTGAGGAAAAGAAAAAGGAAAAAATGCATATGGTCCTGAACAAAATGGCATAAGTGGTCGTTTTTAATGTTTGATGTAGCCTGTTCAGGAGGTAAGTGTTTCTTTGCTTATTTTATAGATTCGTCCCAGACAGGGAGTTCGAGGGCACTGACAGAAGTCGGCGCCGTGATGGGCCAGTGCAGTTTGAACAGGATGTGGAGGAGGACTTGTTCGGTCTTGACAAATTCTTCACAGAGGCTAAGAGGGGTCAGAAGCGTGCTGGAGATGACTCTAGGTCTAGTAGGGACTATGAATCCAGCAAGAGCAAACAAAAGCGGAGAGAATAAGCTCTAAGGAGCAAATGGGAATGAGATCAAGACTTATTCCACAAGCAGCATTGCAAATGTGATTAGCATACATGTTCCAGTCTTCAATATGGATGAACAGGGATTAGAAACACATTCTCATTTTTACTTGATCAGGTAGGACTTCAGGACTGTCAGGGAGGGAAATCTAATTACTGTATTTTCATACTAGTGGAGAAGAATGCATGTCTTGTGTCTGAATGGAATACGATATGTGCATCATCATTTCATATAGAGACTAGTTAAATTGTCATTCAGAAAGGTAAAATGCCTATATACTTTTAGCTTTAATGAGCCAATGTTAACTGGAGCAAGTGATCAGATGAAAAAAATATTAAATTATTCTTTACTTCAACATTATTGAATGTTTGTTTTGCCATACATTATGCATTTTCAAACAATTTTGTATTGTAACATTGACTTCAATGATTCAAGTGAAAAAATTAACGTTTGGTCTATTGTGCTTTTGTGTACTTCATTTATCTGCTCTTGAAATACCTTTCAAGAAAAAGGTACTTTAAAATCCAGACTGAATAAGTACATAGGTACATGCCTTTCATTTCCAAAGCCCCTCGACTTGTTATATATCATATGGAAGCATGTGCAATGTATGTAAAATGACTTTCAGATTGTCAAATCAGAATTGTTTTATCACTGTATACAAGGAGATGTCATGTGTGATTCCTGTAAATAGGATATCTCTTGTTTTGTGTATGTGTTTTTACCATGTTTCAGAATACATTTGGCGGTAATGACTGGTTTTACTTATAAGGGTATATTCAATAATTGAGAACATGCCGTCCAGTTATTTTACAGAATAGCTGCACGTCACCCAAGAAACTAGAACCGAAACAATTTTATTTCTCATGAAAATGTAACCCATGAAAATGATATTGTGAATAAACAAGTGAATGTACAATGCTTTTTGTTTGTGATGTTGGTTTGTTTGGACTATGTAAGGGTTAGAAAAACTATTCTTGTAACACCTGTGCAAAATGGCATATACCAGTGATATACTAGATGTTAGACAAGAAAACTTTATAATGTTTCAAATGTCCCATCATGACCTGACAGAAAAATAGCCTGTGTTGAAGACACAAAAATAACAGCAGCTGATGTAATACATTCATAAGGTGCCTTCCAACATGGATAGCTGCTTGGCGGCTCTAGCACAAAACCATTATCCCAGTCAATGGATCAGCATGCACTTATATTTCATTCCCAACTCGCTGGTGCCTCTGAATTTAGAACAATTCACATAACCATCTCACCCTTTCACTACTTGCTGAATATAGGCATATTTTACACAAAGCGTCAATCCATACAAGACACCACTTTTGATATCTCTCAGACTGGGACACTGAAGCAAGATCTAGCACTGGAACAGTGTAAATTCCATGAGCATATTGTGCCAATTTTGGCTATAAGGATTGCTGGGTTCTGTTTTTTCATCGGGTGTTTCTTTGACCCATAACACTCTAAACATGCTCTGTCGGGCAGGACACTTTTGTGATGATGCTTTTAGGGGGCACCCATTTTGTTCTGGGGAGGTAGAGGGTTAATTAATTTTGTACACATGTACTAGGGATGTCAGCAGTTTTGTACCTAAAAATAATGGGAAGGGGGGACTTACTTTCTACATACATACATACATACATACATACATACATACATACATACATTTCTGGCTTTTTATCCCACCGGCATGTAATGCGGTGGGATATAGTCGTCGCCTCGTCCGTCCTGTCCGTCCGTCCGTCCGTCCGTCCGTCCGTAATCATTTTGTTTCCGGAGCATAACTCAAAGACCGTTCGATATTTTTCAACCAAAATTGGTAGATATGTCAAACATAACCTAAGGTGGTGCCTTTTGCTATTTACAGATTATTGTCATTTTTATTTTTCTCGGTTTCCATGGAAACGTTTTGGACTTAGTCTTAAAGAAGGGTGGGCTTCGTTTCCGGAGCATAACTCAAGAACCATTCAGTATTTTTCAACAAAACTTGGTAGATATATCAAACAGATCCTAAAGTGGTGCCTTTTGCTATTTGCAGATTTTTGGGAATTTTAATTTTCCCGGTTTCCATGGAAACATTTTGGACTTAGTCTCAAAAAGTAAGGATTGCTTTCGTTTCCGGAGCACAACTCAAAAACCGTATAATATTTTTCAACAAAACTTGGTAGATATATCAAACAGATCCTAAAGTTGTGCCTTTTGCTATTTGCAGATTTTTGGCATTTTTATTTTTCCCGGTTTCCATGGAAACGATTCGGACTTAATCCCAAAAGTGAGGGGTGGGCTCTCTATATCTTTCAGCAAAACTTGGCAGATATGTGAGGCAGATCTTGAAGTGGTGCCTTTTGCTAGTTGCAGATATTTGTGATTTATTATTTTCTCGGTTTCCATGGACATGATTCGGACTTAGTCTCAAAAAGGAAGGGATGGGTTTCGTTTCCGGAACACAACTGGAAAACTTCTTAATATCTTTCAGCAAAACTTGGCAGATATGTGAGGCAGATGCCAAAGTGGTGCCTTTTGCTATTTGCAGATATTTGTGATTTATTATTTTCTCAGTTTCCATGGAAACAATTTGGACTTAGTCTCAAAAGGGAGGGGTAGGTTTTGTTTCCGGAGCACAACGCGAAAAACTTCTTAATATCTTTCAGCCAAACTTGGCAGATATGTGAGTCAGATCTTGAAGTGGTGCCTTTTGCTATTTGCAGATTTTGTCATTTATTTTTTTCATGATTTCCATGGAAACGATTTGCACTTAGTCTAAAATCAAGCTGGACTTTTTGTAACTGTCAGATGATTTGTTCTTTCAAAGATGTGGGGGCCGGGGGGATATGTCATCTTCTGATGACTCTTGTTGTCAAGTTTGTGAATAGAAGACAACCAAAATCATGTCCCATCATTTATTCTATAGTCAACACTGTCAATTTAACAGCTGAAAGTTGCTGTTGACATTGAATTGCAATAAGTTCAAATTAATCACAGTCCGTCAAATGGAGATACCCCTGAACGCGAAAAGTGACAGTCTCTTTAGTCGCGTGTATGGCCACCTTGAGCTTGCACACAGGCCGTGCAACGTGGCCTCATTGAGTTCATTAGAGTCTGAAAGAATGCCTGAGGCAATTGGTTCCGCTCAAACACCAATCTCTATTCCAATTGTGCAAGTGTGAGTGGCTGTCTACCTGCACCAATCCCCCGTCCAATTTCGTCCCAGAATGTTCAATGGGAGCCATATACGGGGAAAGAGACGGCACTAGTGGTGATGGTGGTGGAATTGGGTTTAACGCTGTGCTTGAGAATATTTCGCTCATATGACGACGTGCATGCGTGTGTATGTGTATGTGAAGCCGCAGTGAAGCATGAATACCCCACTCAGACACATTATACTGACTCCGAGCCGACCAGTCCTTGATGTACCCATTAATGCCGAGCGCCAGGCAGGGGAGACGGCAATGGAAAAACGTTAATGTTGTTTTGAGCCAGATAATTCATCGACACCCCTGCTGTGGGAGGGCGTGTCAAAATTGGCGTGTCAAAATTGGCCCCACATATGGCCTTCGGCAGTGGATTCCAGCAGCCCGAAGACGACGCCTAATTGTATCGCTGGACACTGCTCCCCTTGACTCATGAACTAAGGCTGCTTTTACTGTTGGTGCTTGAGTTCGGTTCCTTAGATGAGTGACCCGGATGAACCGATCTTGCGCATGAGATGTCACTCGTTGCCGTCCGGTACGGGGACGATCAGCAGCAACCCCGGTTTGCTGATGACGTTGAGCAAGTCGTGTAATGGTGGTAAGATGACAGCGGTTGCAGAGCTACCTCCGTGCAACTTTCCAATGGCCATTCCTCTCTGCTCAGTCGTGAGTCTAGGCATCGTTTGTGTGGCGTGTACATCTCCTAGTGTCAATACTGAACTGTTTTTTGACACAAACCTTTATAAAGGATACCTCAGAGTGAAATGCATGCTTTTCACCCAGAACCGTCGATGCACGTGCTAAAATTATGGTTTTGTTGCACTGTTGGTGTGTTTGTGCGAATGGTTCGTATGGACGTCAAATTGCATGACATCATCTCATCTTGGATCATTACGTCACTTCACCATGAATGTTCCATAAACATGAACGCTTTACCTTCATGAGATTTCATTTTTTCGAAACCTGCGTTTCTTTTGCTGTTCAGTATAATATATGCTTCTCCATTTCTCCATAAAAATCATCACACACACACACACACACCTACACCACACCACACCACACCACACCACACCACACCACATCACACCACACCACACCACAGCGATAAATTATGGATGGTCCCTTAGGAGCCTATCATGCAAATTTTAGCCAAAAGGATTGCTGGGTTTTGTTTCTTCAAGATCACATGCAATGGCCAGCTTTGGGTTTCAATGGTTAATTACATTCCACTCCAGAGTTGCATCTTTTGGTATTGCAAGGATCCAGTTATGATGAATTTTATTTTGTGACTTCCCTCAAACAGGCTCTAGCTCACTACTCTGCAGTAACCTACATGTAATACTGTTCAAAGCAGCACTGAAACAAAAGTCACTGTCTCAAGTAGTGAAGCTGATTAGTAAGAAATATTTATTTATTTCAAATTCTATCAATTATATTTTATTTCCAGAAAGTGTCTCATCAAGATGCCAAAGGCATTGTATCAACTAGGTCAGCCATTTTGGGATATTCATTTTAACTAAAGGTGGTTCGTGCAGATCTATGTACTGAGGCTGCTAACCCCAATATCACATAATTTGTCTTGGCATTCAATTTAAGAACTCCTGAGTTATAGTTATAACCACTGGTACAAGTGAATTAAACTTGGATGTAAGGGACCGTTCATAATTTATGGCTAGGGTGGGTGGGGGTGGGTGATGATGATGATTTTTAAGGGGTCACTCATTTTTTCTGGGGAGCTAGGGGTCATCGATTTTGAAAACACATGTACTAGGGGGTCAGCAATTTTTGTACATAATAATATGTTTAAAATTATGCTAGAAATTATGGGAAGGGAAGGGGGGTCATTGATTTTTTACATGGCATGCAGGGGGGTCACTTATTTTGTACATAAATCTTAGGGGTGGTCATTCACATTGTACATGCTTCTCCATAAAAATCATCATCACCACCCCACACACCCCACCCCTAGCCATAAATTATGAACGGTCCCTAACATAGAATGCATGATCACAAGCTTAGTGCTGATTACTTCATGATTTGTTTGCAAAAAAAAAAAAAACACAGGTTAAACGTATACTGAAATCCATTAGAAACGCATCACGTTCATCAGCTGTTAAGAGAGAGAAAGAGGTATTTGGTTTCTTGAGGCTGGTTTGTCTACAGGTCAAGTGGCCAGAAGGTTTGTTACAATTCAACAACGGTCAGGTTATCACCGCGCCTACGACAAACTGGCCAAACACGTAATCGACCACACATGGCAACCACATGTCACGATCCCGTCATGTCGTCCCCACTGATGCAATTATCATTTTCAAGCCTGGGTCCAAACCAGCCTCTACCATTCGTGGATGAAGGGGAACCATCAGTTCCCAGACGTGAGCTAGAACTGCGTAGGATCCATATTGGTAGAGCTGAGGTACTGAGAACAACAGTCGTTCCCCACATGGTAGCAGATCAACGTCTCCACATTTTGTAACAGGACAAAACACACGTGGCCGTCTCCGGATTAGGCGCTGATGTGTGGGACCAAAAAAATGGGGAGTTTCTTAAAAGCAAGCATGGCAAGAAATTGATTCATTTACTAACGGTATGACGTGAGCATGTGCGGTCAATTTGAAGATCTGGCACACAATCCTCAAGAAATGACATAAGTGTCAATAACTGACCACAATGTCAATATCTGGTGTAACCTTGACCCGTGAAGATCCGGGGT